AGTCGCCTCTATGGAAGGATATTGAGGAACTTAATTGAAGAGGAATACTCCAGCTACGAAGAAGAAGAGCAGAATGGTTTCAGAGGCGGAAGATCATGTACAGATAATATCTTTGCGTTGAAACAGATCATCGAGAAGAAATCTGCAATGAACCAGGAAGTTCATATAACATTCATCGATCTACAAAAAGCATATGATACAGTACCAATAATAAAATTATGGGAAGTATTGCACGAACCAAGAATTAACGCAGCTCTGATAAAAGCTGTACAAAATCTTTACCATGGAGGAAAATCACAAATAAAAACGGTCAACGGTCTCTCAGAGGAAATTTCTATCACTAAAGGGCTCCGACAGTGTTGCTGTATATCCCCAACACTATTTAAAATTTATATTACCAAGGCCTTATATCTATGGAAAAGAAAATGTAACGGAATGGGTATAGAACTAAATGACATATGCCTATACACCTTGCAATTTGCAGACGACCAGGCCATAATTGCAAACGACAAAGATGACATGGAATATATGGTGCAGAAAATAATTGAAGAATACGCTAAATGGGGTCTCACAGTAAATACAGAAAAAACAAAACACCTTCCAATTGGATCCAATACAGAAAATCTTATTTTGGACAATAATACGGAAATTAGGGCATGTGAAGATTACAGGTACCTGGGATCGATATTTACAGGAGATGGAACGGACGATAGAGAAATAAACAACAGAGTAATAGAGGCACGAAGAGTTATCAGATGCATAAATGGCATTCTATGGAGTACTGAAATTACAAAAAACAGGAAATATAATATATACGAGACACTAGTTAATAGCATATTACTCTATGGATGTGAAACATGGCGACTCACTGAAAGGAATAAAAAGAAATTAGAGACAACAGAATGGACGCGATTAGAAGAGCAATGAGAATTTCACGGAGGGATAAGATCAGAAATGAAGACATTAGACAACAGATGGGAATAGAGGGAACAATAGTAAATGATATAGAACAAAAACAATTAATATGGTACGGCCATGTTCAGAGAATGCACAATGAAAGAATTCCAAAACAAGTCATTCATTGGATACCACCTGGTAAACGAAAGAGAGGACGTCCCAAGAAAACATGGATGGAAGGAATAAGAAGGTCGATGAGCCAGAAAAATCTGACCGAAGATCAATAGGAAAATCGCACAGGGTGGAAGTTAGGCATCGGACAACGTCGTAGGACGTTCTGACCCGAATTTATATATATATTTTGTTACTTCACATTTAGAAACAGTGGCTGCTGAAAACGGAAACACCTTGGACACATATTGTTCGACCCCCTCTGGATATTTAAATTTGACATTTCAGGAAGTTTCTTATTACATGTTTCTTTTAGCAAGCTAATAAATTCCAAGACTCTACACCCACTCTACAGAGTTCCAACGTACGTATTAACGACAGGAAACAATTAAGTCTGACGCAATGCCCCGATAAGTTCCTGATAAGGGTAGACCGCTTCGCAAAAAACTCTATTTCGTTTCTTTTTACCCATAGAGTTCTCCTTCCAGCCCTAAATATTTACTTAAGTTGAAGTGTATCGAGCGCACGAGGGAGATATAAATTTGGCCATTTATCTTAGCTACCGTTTACGCCCGAAAAGCTGGCGTTTAAGTGACCGATAAAAAGACATTTAATTATTCGGAGAGAGAAATATATAGTAGGATAAATTCTAAAATTTAATTTAGATTCTGTGGTTTATTTCAAATTTTACCGCTACATAAAATGTAGGCAGAAGACGATTAAAGCCCCATACTCACTATTCGTTACGGCGCGGCTGGTGCGGCGGCGAACGGAGGTCATTATTACAGAATTAGGTGGTAATAAATACATCATCAAAAAATACATGTTTTTAATGAATAATTATGCCTCCCTCACATATTTAGATACTCTCTTTGTAATTAGGTAGCTCATTGTTGTCTTTTTTTCCGGTGAGGAGGGAAAAAATCTTGCATAAGACACCAGCACATTTGCCCACAGCACATATGACCCACAGTTGGGTAGTTAACTAAAAAACCCTCCTCCAACTACCACTTTACACTAGAATTCACTCTCGCATTGCTTCAGTGCAAAGGGTGTCTATAGATTTATGATGTTCGTTGTCTCTCTTCCATCTCTTTACCACTTATTATATTTCGGACTATCCGATATACTAGCTTCCATTGTACTTCCCCTTTAACTAGGTACATCATAAATGTGGGTAAGTCAAAGAGTCTGCCGGTTTCTGTACGGAATTGTTCCCTAAGGACCTGCCATCGTTCACACGCAAATAGTGTATGTTGAACATCATCATCTTGACCACAGTAGTAGATGCATGATGCACTATCAACCCTACGACGATCGTATAAATATTTTCTAAAACATCCATGGCCAGACAATGCTTGGTTCATGAAGTAATCGACTTCTCCATATTGTCTGTGCGTTTTATTCTGCGTAGTCTTTGCATTAGCTTGCGATTGTTTGTGACGTTATGCCATACCGGTGCAGCATACAACAGCTGCGAGTGTACAACACTAGCAAGTACTTTTCTTTTGGATGCTCTAGCACCTCCTACCTTTGGCATGAGTAAGGCTAAAAAGCGGTGACAGTTTTCTCGGCCTTGGTGATGCTTTTATTAATATGGTCCGCAAAATTCAATTTGGTATCCAGACCCATTCCTATTTATTTTAAAGAATTACTTGGGTAAATTAGAGTTCCTTGCACATAAAATTGCACCGGGGATATTTTTCTTTCTCTAGCCAGCAATACTGCTTCAGTTATGTGAAGCTACGGTTAACAGATTATTCTCCATCCAGTTTACAACTCTTTGGATTGCCACGTTGACGGTGTTCATCAGTACATCTTCATCTTTTGCACATGATACAATAGCAAGGTCATCTGCAAAGGCAACTAAAGTTGTTTTGTCTGGCATTTCTATCCTCAGTAGTTCATCATAGAGTACGTTCCCGAGCATAGGTCCCAAGACTGATCCCTGTGGTACACCGCTATTTATCATCACAGTTTTTTGTAACTCTTCGGCCTCTATTATGATTCTTCTCTCTGATATATATTATGATTCTCCTCCCCATATTCCAATGCTATGATATCAATTAGACATTGATTTATTTTCCTCTTTTGTTGATTGTTCAATATAACTTGTCAGGAGGCGTTGTTAAATGTAATTTGTTTCCCTTCCTCAGTAGTACCAGTTTGCCTATTTTCCATTCTGATGGGAATTGACTTTTCCGAGCTAATGCATTATACACTAATAGAACGTGTTCAGGTTTATTATGAGTAGCCTTTAGTACTGATGGTATATTACTGGGACCAGGAGCTTTATTATTTTTTAGTTTGTTGGACGCCACACAAAAATTGTAAAATTTAAAACTTTATTATCTAAATTGTAAATATCACAGTCATATATCACAGGTGGGTGAGTTGGAAACAGATGTTTTACAACTTTTACCGTAAAGTCCATTGTAAGTTGAGGTTTAGGAGGGAAACCTAGCAACTTAGTTTCATTTTTAAGACACTCTGTATACATAAATAAAATTATTGATTTTTAAAATATTATTCACAAACTAGGGAGAGGGAAATCAGGCGACAAAAGAGAATGATAGTTGTTAAAGGATGGCTTTGAGACTACCATTCGAGACGTATTGATGTTATTTTGGTTCGTAAGTTTTGTGACAAAGAATGTTATTAAAGGTAAAGTAAATATTTTCTCATTAATTAACTAGTGTTACATAAAGAATATATTTCATTTTTCGTGTTCTGATTCTGTTCTAAAGCTTTTCTCTATTTATTTGATCTGATAAAGATAATAAATATAAAACATGTGTATACATTTAATGAAATCGATTATGCTGTGAATAATTTCAGTTTAAAAGTAATCTAAATACAATCGTTTATTGTCTATTCGTACCGATGTTTGTGGTTCAGGGTAAGAATAAGGGCCTTGTTGAGGCGTACTAACAATTTTCGACCATGAATAAATTTTGATTTCGACCTAAAATAAAAATAAAAAAAATTGTGTAAATATAAGATAGAAATACCTCCATTTAAACAAACAAACAGTATTCAGACAAATAGGTGTAAACAAGTAAGTAAAATAACATATACAATATACAGAATAAAGAGAAAATTAAACATAACGCTAAAAAGAATAAGTCAGACTAACAAGCAATTCTAGACTCTAAACACTAATATCAAGGGTGTCCCGGTAGAATTCGTCAACGATGTAAAATGCAAGGTTTTTATGGAATTAACCAATCTTAAAGCAACCGGAAGATGATTAAAGATCTTTCGGCCCTCATATATTATCGATCTTTTGACCAATGTGCTATTTGGAAGTGGTAAGGGCAGATTCAGGGTTTGGCGGGTAACAATATTGGGTATAGGACCCTGTAGTCTGATACGATTTTTAAAAAAACTAAACAAAAACTAACAAAACCTGTTCTAACAAAAACTAACAAAAGCTGTTCAGTTTTGAACGATATAAATGTGGCATGTTTTGAAAGTATGAGGACAGTTTCTATATTATTATTTCTATTTTATTAAAGTTCAGGACAGCAGTTAGATTCTCTGGAATAGTGATCGGGGTTTACTCTGCCGTGCTCTTTTACTCGTGAATTCCAGGCAGAGTACGGCACTCACATTCATTTCATTTAATAAAATAAGTAGGACTATTTACAAATTTAGCGTTTCATTTATGTGACCTATTCTTCACAAATTTTCCAAAATATTGCGCATCCGAGATAATCACAATAAAAAAATATTTAACACAACGTAGGTTCCTTTTATTCATTTAAATTGTTTGTTAAACAGTTGGCCAAAATATTACCTCTTCAACTTTGTTGACGAACTTGGGTTGTTACACTAAAAAGTACTTTGTATAAAATCTAGACCTTAAATCTAACTCTCTAAGCCGGATTTTCTTTATGAATAAGAAAAGCAAGGGTAAAATTTCCACCTACCTCTGCGTTTTTAAAGTTAATATTCGTTCGAATCGTCCTCTGGTGCAGGGGCTGAACGGGGCGCGCGTTATTTCCCAGCGGAGCCTTTGGCGCGTCTTCGGAGCCCTGCATTAATTTTCGGAGCTGGTACAGCTAGAAATCACAAACAAATAACTTTTTAGAATAGGTTATAATAACAACAAAAAAATCGTTTCTAAACAAATTTTCTGTTTAGATTTTTCCTTTGAATAAAATGATTATGGAAGGAGCATAACAAAACTTGGGTCGAGCGCGATGGGGACGTAATATGGCCGACTTAAATTCCGCTCTATCTGTGTCGTTCTAATTTTATTCAAAACGTGAATGGTAGACTCATCAATCACCAAATAGGTCAATCATTTGTTGTTTTATTTTACGTTGTCAATAAATGTTAGTAGTTTTTAAAATTGTTAGAAAAATACTAACTGACCCGGCAAACGCTGTTTTGCCATAATAGTATATTGTTTTATTAGGAGTAACAATAATTATACTTTTTGTGGCGCAGCTGAAGGTGTGACGGACGAACGTAAACGAGTCTAAAGGTGCGTTCATACCGGCTGCGCCGCACCGTGCCCCGCCACGCATATAATTTTTTTGACATATACTTTTGTGCGCGGTAAAAAAATATACTTCAAAAGTACATGTTAAAAAAACGTATGCGCGGCGTGGCGCGAAGCGGCGCAGCCGGTGTGAACGCACCTTAACATACAGCCGAGGCACAAAAAGTTATTTTTACTCAATAGAACATGCGTGACGAACATTTTTTTTCAAACTCCACAAATAAGTTTTTAAATAATATAAAAACCGAAATCAAATGTCGATTAAGGTTCACTAAAACTAGTTTTGGTTTAGTTTCTTCAATTTTGTCATGAAACAGTGACGTATCATAACAGTGGCGTAATTCGCTCATTAATTTATGTATAATTAATTTTGATTATTGAAAATGTGTACTTGTTTCCACACCACCCAAGAGGTAAAGTACATGGCGTGTTTATTTTAACGTGGTCTCCCCGGAGGCCTATTCCACTAGGTAAATTGAAAACTTTAACTTATCTGCACAAGACCGACGGACCTGGCTCATTGATGTAAAGTCCATCGTATCTGCTGTGCTGGGCTCATCAGGGTGGTCTCTCAATTTGTCCAACTCTTCATCTTCAGCCGCCAGAGGGATATCTACAGGCAAGTCCAACTCCTCTTCATCGGATTCGTCGAGTGACACTTCAGTGACGTTGTCACAGGATTTCCCGTTGCAGTATGCACAAATCATTGAACATTTTAATCCAGCTTTTCTGCATCCGCAGGCTTTACCACAGTTGTTAGTTTTGCATTTACAGGATAAAAATGCAAATATGGATTTTGGAGCTGGATCTGTCAAACTGGTGTAATGTTGTGACTGGAGTAATGCCTGTTTTTGTTTTCTTCCAACCCCATTCTTCGGCATCTTTGGTACAACCAGACCAATGCTGAACCTGGTGGTAAGTTCGCAATGAATGCTGTCCAGCACGACAATTAATTATTCATAAATTAATTATTATTATATTAAACGAATTAATGATACGCCACTGTTTTATGACAAAATTGAAGAAACTAAACTAAAACTAGTTTTAGTGAACCCTAATCGACATTTGATTTCGGAAATCGACTATACATATGTATATCATACTTTACGCAAAATTGTAAAATTTCCAGGGATTTTGTGCCTAAACGGTTGACTTTCACGAAAATTTTCATAGAAGCTTTTTTATAGGAAATTTTATTCTCTTTAATTTCTCTCTCTTCAAATTTTTACGAAAAACGCATAGTTTTCGAGATATTTACAAAATACCGATTTCGGGCGCCATCTTGGCAAGATGGCGGCGCCGGCGGCAAGTGTGGAAATGTGCATTTTATGGATAATGGATAATGTAAGAGACCCCAAAACCTATAAACCTGCAAAGTTTCAAAACTTCCGGACTTTTTTCCAAGCAGGCTCCTTTTTTGATCCCCATTGACTGAACTAGATGTTTAATAATATATTTTTGTACTTTTATGCATACCCCCGGTGTTTTCAGGTACGGATAGCGTGTTATAATCTGCCAGATATATTTTATTTGACGGATAGCAGAAAAACGCGTATCTTCACCTATAGATATCAGTATCTATTAGATAAATTAAACTTATCTCCCAGATATCCTGGCGCCCGAACTGCCAAATAGTGCTTTATTTGTCGGATAAAAATTTGACGCATGAGCAAAGGCATGAGGAGGTATTGATTTTATTTGATATTTGACAAAATTGCTTAACATAACCAAGACATTGTTATTATTGAAGATTTCGTTTATTCCAATAAATTCGATTTTAGATTATTTGGAAAAGACTTACCTATTCTGAGTATGTATGCTATAATCATTTTAGAACGTATGGGGTATAAACACCAATAAACACATTGAAATGGTGCAGAAAACTATTGTTGCTAGTGCCGGACTTTATAAGGACTGTTACAAAATAAAGAGAGTCTCTGTTCTGTTAGAGCATCAGAACGAAGAGAATGCATTAAGTTAGGATAATAGTGATAACACAGTAATTTATAAATCATTTTATTTAAATCCTTTCAATTATAAACCATTACTACATATTATATAAAATGCTAATGTTTATCTGTGTCGTCTCTACTGAAGTAACGACTTGCTCTAGAAAGTTGCTTTTTTTACTAAAAGATAGCTAAATGGCTCTTCTAAAAACTGTCGTCGCCGGATTTTTTGTTTTTCATTTAATTAAAAAAAAGTATTTTTTTTCTGATCTCGTGGCGGATGCGCCAGGCTTAGTTTGGTTTGGTTTTTACCAACCAGTTTTTAATAAAGCTCTAAAGTAGGTAAAAAATAAATAAAACTTTTTAAATCAAACTATTTATTTCTTTTTTAATTCGTATATCTTAATTCATTAATATTATAACAGGAACCTTATAAAACCTGTTATTGAACTCACATTTGCTTTTATTTCTTTTGTGTTACAATTTTAGTTTAATTTCTTGCACTATGTACCTTATACCGTATGATCGAAAAAAAAACGGCGTCTAGTTGGCTGGGAAACGATGATCGATGATATTTCCCATATAAATTTACATATGAAATGACAGCAATCTTTATTTCATAGCCATTGCTGACGTCAATTTTTTTACTGCTTAGAACTTGGAACGTTTGAAATTGTTTAAAAAATTATTTGTGGCTTTTGAAAAAAAAATAGCATGTTCTATTCGGAGTAAAAATGACTTTTTGTACCTCGGCTGTATCTAAAATTTTGTAATTTCCCGACTTGATATAATCTCATTTTATACATCTATAAATGCTAACTTCAACTAATGTCAAACATTATTAAGTATCACAGTTTTGGTAGAATGGCAGCATTAAATCAAACCAAACACATCGAAATTAATTAAACCGAATTGTTTAAGTGATATTTTTAAAAGTCAATAACTCGATAACGGTTGGTTTGAGGCACATTGTGTGTATTTCGATTTTTGCTTAAAATCGAGGGAAGAACCGAAATATGCAATAATATACAGGGGATTGCATTTAAAAAATGAAACTTCTATGTGCCACGACTTTATGACCGACCCTGTATACTTAAATATATTACCCGCTAATAGATTTTTAAAAACCCTATAACTTTTATATTTAACTTTTTGCGGTACCTCTTATATTTTACCTAATCGACTGTTCCCAGGCATATCAGCGACCCTGTATTAGAGATAAACCAAGTTTTCTCAAAATAGTGATAATAAAAAGGTTTTTCCTCTAGTAAACACAATCCAGGGACATACCGTAGTCAATGTAAACACATTTGCTATACAATATTGTAAGTTTGTTAATTTGTATCCGTTTTAGTAGTGTATGCGGGTTTCTGAGTAAAAATAATTGGTTTTCTTCCAGTGCATGTGTTTAATCATAAACGTAACATAATATAATGTATATTTAATATGTTTTTTATTTATTTTACTTAAATAGTTAATTTACATTTTACCATTAAGTCACAATATTAGCAATTTTAAATTGCTTAGTTTAAATATAATCAAAAATAATTACAGGCTTTCGCTAAGGACACAAAATGACTGTAATTTTCATGCTAATAAAGTAATGAAACCTTCAAGTTGCTTCACACCTTGGCCCACCCCAGCACGCAACGACACCCTCGCAAACCCTAATTATATTTTCAAAGTGCCGTAGGTAATTAAAGGTTTTAAAACGCAACTTCTAAGGAGGTTATTAGCTGTAATTTGTGTGTGAGCAACGGTGAAACCACTGTCAAATCCATTAGGTTTGTGTAAATACGTTTGAGGTTCTTAAATTTAACAAAGAAAAATTAATTAAAAAACCATTTTATCTAGAAGTAAGTAGTACTGTTGGAAAAACTACATTTTAATAGTATTAAATACTCCATATAGTTTTGTTTTTATGTTTTCCTATCTATCTGGCCTGCCAAGATCTGCCAAAATTAGTGTTTTTTAAATATAAGTAAAACGCTAGTATAGTTAAATATAGCACACTTGATATTTTGCTCGATTCCTCTTCGAAATATAGAGTATATAAAAATTCGCCCGCTTTAAATAAGTAGACTTCGAACGGCGCCGGCTGTAATGCAAAAAAAATTCTAGCTGTGAGCATCAATTAAAACGAAAATAATATTTGTTCTGAGAGGTGCAGAATTTTATAACAATTTAAAATATAATATAAATAGTAAACCAAGACATAAGTTTTGCTACAGGTGTTCGACATATCTACAGTCGTCTGTTATGGACAGTCGGGGCCGTTTTTGAACATTTCTCGCAGAATTCATTAACTCAGTGGGGGTGAAAGATACCTTCTCATAACTGCTAAGTATTTCTACTTCTTGTCTAGATTATACATTTAAAATTAAGAACCTTTATTCTTCCGCAAATATATCCATAGGATTAGATCCATAGGCACTAAGTCCGGCGGCCTCGACGGCCAATGGCTGGGATCTTGGTTAGCTATTTAATTATTCTTGAAATTGGCTGCAAAAATTTGCTGATAACTTCAGCGTTCTGAGGCGGTGCTTCATCTTGCTGGAAAAATATGTTTTCGAGTTCCATTAGGGGCATATCATCAATAAGGGGTCCAAAGCCTACTAGTTAAAGTGGCGCACTTTTAAAAATTCTTTATTTCGAAGGGGATTATAACAAAATATTAAGTGTAGTATATTTTTGGAAAGGTAATTTTAAATTCTTTTCAGTTAATTAAAAATATACAGGGTGTCCCGAATAAAAAATCAATTTTTCTGTTGATAGCTCTTAAATTATATTTTAGTTAAAATTAAAAAAAAATATTACTTAAACCATTAAATCCTACGTAGAAAGGTGATTTGGAAATGTTTACATAGAAATACAAAATTTTTCATAGCAAAAAAATTTTAGCGATTTGTTAAAAATGCACATTATTGAAAAACTAATAACTCCGAAACGGTAACAGATATGTGCGGTTTTCACCATCATGTTTTCGATGAAAATTGAGCTCCAGATACTGATATTAATTTTCGTCTATCTCCTATAGAAAAAGGTGTTTCCATTTAGAAGCGTCGAATTTGACCCACACTGTACAGGGTGGCTCGAATTCGACGCTCATCATTGGGATTTCGGAAACCGTAAGAGATACAGGATCGGTTAAATGGAGGTAAATTTGATGTTCAATAAAATGCCGTATTGCAATTTGAAAAATTCCGAATACTTCCGAATATAATAGTTGAGGGTTGGAACCTTTGGTGTTACACAGCAAAATAAAAACACTAAATCACCACACTACACCAAAACACTTTTACTTTTACATTGGACGCGCGTTTCGCTAACAATGTTAGCATCATCAGCAGATGATTAAAACCTAAAAAACCTTTTTAGTAGTTAGCGAAATGCACGTCCAGTGTAAAAGTAAAAGTGTTTTGGTGTAGTGTGGTGATTTAGTGTTTTTATTTTGCTTCCGAATATATTCGAAAAAAAAAACGGAACTCTCAATTTTGTTTTCTATTGTTTCCTGGCTTTATTTGTTAAGATAACTTAAAATGAAAAACACATTTTCATGGCCACTTTTTCTGGTCTATAACTCTGTGTGATTAAATATTGACTCTGACGTTTCGACTTCTGGCGACCATCATCATCAACTTAATTTTTTTAAATACGGACTACGGACGATTTTTTATGATTTTTTTTCAATTTAATTAAATCCTTTCATCACTCTTAAAACACTATATACAGGGTGTCCCAGAAATGAGTGCAGATATTTTAAGGGGTGGTAGATCTGGTCAAAATAAACATATTTTCTCTTTACCATTTTTAAAATAAATTGAAAATATCCGAGTAATTTAACTTTGAAAATTTAAAAAAATAATCGCAACATTTTGAGAACCGCCGGCAGATATCGCCAACTACATCCAATTACCCGGATCAAGCCAGGATTTCAGTTAATTCGACGCACTGTGTTGCCATAGGGACAAGAAAGTATATGTTAAAAGTAAGTCATAAAATCACAACACCTGAGGAGTTTGCAGAGATGCATTACATTTTTAAGATTGTGATATTATTACATAAAATAAATTAAAAGTTAAATGTTTAATAATGTGTTAAAAAATGTGTTAAAAAAGTTAAATTAAAAAACTTACCCAACATTAAAAAATATACTTATGACCGATCGATGTGACTATGACAGTTCTCTTTTTCGATATACACTTAACTAAAATACACTTCACCGTGCTGCTTTATTTGTACATGCTATTATAATAACTACTAAAATAACAGTCCCCATTTTTAACACATTATTTTCATATAGGCCTCATCACAATTTGAATCACTCATTTACAAAACACCTTGAAAAGCACACATTACTTTGAATACCTTTCCGAATGAATAAATGTTGAGAATTATTGTCTCTTACCGCCACTTTCCGAACTACTTTCAATCTAAGAAAATACGTGTTTCACTCAACAATTTTAAATACGTATTTTGTTTTTTCGCTATTTTTTCTATGTATTTCAACAATTCCATTGACAGCCCAATCGTCGCGTCGGCCGTCGGCCAAGAGAGCGGCGCATCACTGGTAGCTGCTCCTTTGTCGCGCCGCCGCGCCGTGTCGAGCTTGCGTCATGCGAGGTTGCCGTAGTTTCAACAATTTCAAATTCAAGACACTCGAAGCAATCAAATTCTTATTAAATTTTAAAAATAAAACAGAAAAATATGAAAGGAAACAAACAAAACACAAATGAATTGGTTATTGATAAGGTCACAAAAAAGAAATTTCTAAAATGTTTATCGTAATTCAGAATTCAATACATCGACAACAGCCCGACGAATAATCAATTCATTTTTGTTTTGTTTATTTCCTTTCATGTTTCTCTGTTTTATTTTTAAAATTTAATACGAATTTGATTGCTTCGAATGTCCTGAATTTGAAATTGTTGTAACTACGGCAACGTTGCTTAACATCGTCATCTGACGCAAGCCCACCACGACGGCGCGGCGACCGGCGACTCAAAGGACCAGTTCACACGCGGCGGTTCTTGGCTGACGGTTAGGGCAGAGAAGAACGACCGGTTAGGCTGTCGATGGAATTGTCGAAATACATCGAAAAAATAGCGAAAAAACAAAATACGTCGTCAATAATTGTTGAGTGAAACATGTATTTTCTTAGATTGAAAGTAGTTCGTAAAGTGGCGATAAAAGACAATAATTCTCAACATTTATTCATTCAGAAAGGTATTCAAAGTAATGTACGCTTTTCAAGGTGTTTTGTAAAACAGTGGTTCAAATAAAACAGAGAAACATGAAAGAAAACAAACAAAACATAAATTAATCGATTATTCGTTGGGCTGTTTTCTAAATTTTTTGAATTGAATTCTAAATTACGATAAACATTTTAGGAATTTCTTTTTTTGACCTGATTGTGAATAATATGAATCATTTTATTAAATTTATTCCAAAATAAAGTTATTTTGCAGCATAACAAAGATTTTCGTAAACGTCATAAACGTAATGTTTCAGTTAATTTTCGGTGGTTTTTGTTAAGTTTTCATTGAAAGGGTAAGTACTAAAAATAATTAATGTGTTTGGTTTCTATAATTATTAATAATGAGCACTGATAAAAGATTAAATTTAACATTCCTAATTTTTTGAGTAGAAATTTGTCTATGAATTTATAAATGTAGAACTATGTTCCGCTGAATTATGTAGAATGTGGATAACATCGGAGGTTGCAACACTGCAAGGTTTAGATACACCGTAGGGAAATCTCAGGTGAATAAACAAGTGGCACTAGAAAGTTTTTTCAAATTTCCCGGAAAATGTCAAGAAAAATTTTAAATTTTCAACATTTTCTTTTTCGCAAAAAAACCTCATAGGCGTGTTTCTGGAGTTGAACTATACTACCAGTTAAAATATTTGCACTTATTTCTGGGACACCCTGTATAGTCACTTTGATATTTGCCGACGTTTCGTACAGAAAATTCCATTACCAGAATATTTTATGCAAAAAAAATAAATAAATAAAAATGCAAATCCGAAATCCCAATGATGAGCGTCGAATTCGAGCCACCCTGTACAATAAAAAGTATGGAACTGATACGGAACGGAAGCTTACGTATAGCGTCAATACAATAAAAAATACGGAACGCATATGAAATGGATATGGAATGGAAACAGAAGGTATAGTGAAAATCAACCTTAATAATTTCACCCCTCCAAAAAAGAAAACAACGAAGTCAAAAGCAAACACCGCAAAACGCCGGTTATGATAATAATCGTCAGATAAATAGATCCATAAAGCGGAGTTATGTGCGTGTCAAATCCGAAGCGACCATTAAATCAAAGCGAGAGCTTCGGTTAGCAAAAAACCGTTTTTAGCTAATTGCGCCCGTAGATTAGGGCGGCGTTCGGCGTTCGGCTGACTCTCGCCCTCGTACGTACCTCGTGTTTGGTAATATAAATGGGCTTATTAAGGATGATCCACACGGTGGTTTCCCAGCAGCCAGGGTGCGTCGTCGAGCCCTCGTACGTCATGAAGTGGTCGGTGTCGGGCAGCATTGCCCGCAGCGAGATGTGCTTGACCGGTGTGGCCGCACCTGCAAGAGAAAAAAAAAGGATTACTTTTTTATTATTCCATTTTTTCTTGTTTCAAAGGAGAATAGGTAAGGTATTTAGGATAAAAAAAAGAACTGAATATATATTTTTTTTTCAATCGTCACAAAACTAGAATATTTTTTTTCATACACCCTCATGATAATTAAAAAAATTGCAAATTGTTGGTGGCAGACTCATTTCGCTCTTAAAAATTAACTAAGGCCATGTATTGACATGATCTATAAAAACAAAATGCTAAGAAGACATGGTTCTGATCGTAAAATTATATTTTAGGAAAATTTACACACAAAATTATTGCACACGGTGTTTTAAAGTTACGGTAAAAAAACAACCCCTCGATTTACTCTGTATAATATTCCAAATACTAAATTTTATCAAAAACTGAGTTTACGAATAAAAGGCGATATAATAATTATATACAGCTTGCTAAAAAATTCATGAAAATGGGGCTAAAAATAACAAAAATGTAACACTTTAAAAATAACCGAAATTTTCTCCGTTGCGTTTTTTTGCCTCTGACTGTAAATTCATAAATAACTACATTTCGTTTTTCCTCGTATAATAGAGCGATGAGGAATTTAAATTTAATTTAAGAAAGGCTAAAATGTCAAATAATTTAACTAAACATTGCTAAAAAAATCATCGAATTCGGCCCAATAGAACAAAATATATACAACTTTAATAATACATGATATTCTAATATGCCCACTTTCTTGCTGCTTAGTGTGTATTTGAACGGAACTCTGTCACCTCTTTAAAAACCAGCACACTTTTTACCTTACTGAAAATCTAAAGGAAAAAAATATTCCAGCTTTTCAAGAAATAATAAATATTAGTAGTATAGTATGTTTTAAACAAAAAATCAAAGTATTTAGTTGATATTTGCTTGGGTTTATCAAACAGCATAAAGTAAATTATGTCAAGTTTCAATTCAGCCGATTAGAAGTTTACTCTGGATTGGCTTTAGAAGCAGTAGAGCGATCGACATTTTAGGGAGAGATTTTAGATAATTATAGTTAAATTATCGGAGCATTTATAACACAAGCGAATCGTGAGCTAATTCGAAGATAATTAATGAGAATCTATTTATATCTATAATAATTTAACCTGCTAAAATTGAAATTAAGTCTTTTATAATTAGTTAACTTGTGCATCTAGATATATAGAGTTTCACCAAATTATTGAACCTTTGGTGTTACACAGCAAAATAAAAACACTAAATCACCACAATACACCAAAACACTTTTACTTTTACACTAGACGCGCGTTTCGCTAACCATGTTAGCATCATCAGCAGATGATTATAAACTATTTATACACCAAAACACTTTTACTTTTACACTGGACGCGCATTTCGCTAACCATGTTAGCATCATCAGCAGATGATTATAAATAGTTTATTTATAATCATCAATTACAATCAATTTAATTAAATAATAAATAATATTATTATTGTGGTGATTTAGTGTTTTTATTTTGCTTTTTTTTATTTTTTTTTGTAGTATTTATTATGCAGGGATGTAAACAATTAAAACTAGAAAAACAAAACCAAATTCGTAAACTAAACTTTGCTACAGACTACAGTATAAATGTTACTTTACCATAACCAGAAATAATAAATAATTTTGTGTATATTTTGTTCATGAGGCGCACTACCGTGGATTATAAGCCGATAAATGGTAGACCGCCAGTTAGTCACTGTTTTATATATTTTTTACTATATTGTAATTAATAATATTAGACAAGGATTTAAACTAAATATTCTTGTGTAACCTTAGAGGAATAGCCCAATTTAAACTACTATTGGTAACTGTTTTATAAATGCACGGTTTTTGATTTTTCATATCAGTTTAATATAGTGGTATTACATTACACTCCATTACAAATTAATGATATTTATTCATGTTCCATGTTTATACAACACCATGATAACACGATAATTCATAAACTATGAGGTATAATTACTAGATATTTTGGTAATTTAGCCAGCTATACTATGTCCTCATGTGTAGTGAACATAAATATTATTGCTTTATTCAAAACGAAGTTACAGGGTGGTGAAAAGTGCCGCTAATATCTTCGAGAAAAGGATGGTACGGCTGTGCTTGATTTGACAGATACTTGACACATATTTTAAAGCAACATACGCCCTGGGAATCGAACCCAGTACCGCTGACATAGAAGCAGATACACAACAGCTAGAGCCACGGCTGGTCACAAAAAGCGTTTGACTGAACTTAAATAACCTTGGCTGGCTGTAAGAGTGTAATTAATCATCCACATAAAAGCAAGTCAGTTTTAATTATTTTTAAAAAAGAAATATCACTATTAATTTATAATTATCTTAAAATTAATTTACTCCGGCAACAATTAGTGCAATTAATTTTTATTACAGTTTCAATTCTCGTTAGCATCTTAAAAATCGCTTTTATAGCAAACATTTACAAAGTTAGATAAAATTAAATCTCGTAATATTGGTATAAAAGAAGTTTCAGACCGGTTTTGTAAAGACTTTCCGAAGATTTAATTAAATTCAATACGCAAGTTTGGTCCGACAATCCCTAACTTCTTATTTTTAAGATAGATTAAATTAAATTACTTTTTTATAAAAATATATCTTTCTTTTTGAATTTTTAGAGATTATAAAGACTAATACAATATTCTCACAGATATATGGATAAAACACTTACTATATTTGATATCAATTAAACGTTATAATTATATAATAAAATGTTACGTAATCGAGGGCTAGATTTTTAAATTCGTTGCCAACCATGAATATATTTGGCGCCTGGCTGATTAACTGGAATTTATATTTCCCGCTGGGGATTCAGGTGGTAGCTCTGCTGTAAAAAATGTCAAGTTGCCACATTTATTTATTTATTTCCTGATATTGTCATCCGTTTTGACACTTTAGTTTTGTATATTACGAGTTTTTGGTTTAAATAAATCGTGTTGTGATACTTTAAGCTTGAAAATGTTTACTAGCGGACCTTGCAGTCGAACATTGTTCTTTTTCGAACCTCTTTTAGTGCGAAGTGGTACAAGATAATTTAATAGTCGTAAAAAACTTATCACAACTTTATTAGAATATTTTGAGCGGGAAAGTGGTAGTAATGGTTCTTTATGTCCCTTAAGTGCTGTTACGAAGGTGAGTTTTGTTGATGTAAATAATCTATACCAATATATAAAATCCTTAAGTGACTGACATACTGATTAATCACAATCCTGCTCAAACCACTCAACGTAAGAAGCTCAATTTTGGCATACAGGTTGATTCTAGGGTGTAGAGGTTCGATAAGAAGGGATTTTTCGAAATTCCGGTTCCAAGAGGGTGAAACCACCCCTCAAATATTATAATATTTTTTATTTAAAAAACGGTCAAGTTTCCGAAAAAACACTTAAACACGTATATTTTATTTTGTTTTTTTACATATTTTAAGATTTTTTAAAAATGTATACAGGGTGTTTCGAGAAATCTGGTCATTGATTAATCACGATCCTGCTTAAAGCGCTTGACGTAAAAAGCAGATTTTTGGAAAACAGATTGACTTGGGTGTAGAGGTTCGATAAGAAGGGATTTTTCGAAACTCGAATTCTAAGGGGGCAAAACTATCCCTCAAATATTAAAATATTTTTTATTTAAAACCCGGCGATTTTTCGGAAAAACTCTTAAACACGTATATTTTATTTTGTTTTTTTTACATATTTTAAGATTTTTTATAAATTTATACAGGGTGTTTCATAAAATATGACCATTGAGTAATCACGATTCTGCTTAAACTGCTTGACGTTTAAAGCTGATTTTTGGCAAACGGATTGACTGTGGGGTGTAGAGGTTTGATAAGGAGGGGTTTCTCGAATCTCAAATTCCAAGAGGGTGAAAACACCCCTCAAATATTACAATATTTGTTATTTAAAAAACGGTTAGTCTTTCGGGAAAACGCTTGGACAAGCATAATTAACTTGGTTTTTTACATATTTTGAAATTTTTTAAAAAATCATGCAGGGTGTTCCAAAAAGTTGGGTAATTTCTTAACCACGATTCTGCTTAAACTGCTTGACGTAAAAAGCTTATTTTTGGATTTTCCGAAAACGGATTTTTCGAAAGTCAAATTCCAACGAGATGAAACTACCCCTCAAATATTACCTATATAAATAATATCGCCATATTGTTTTTCTCATGCTGACATAAATGTGAGAAAATTTTATCCACTTTGTATGTTAATGGAAATTATTGCTTTGCTTTATCATCACCATTACAAATGATTAATTCGACGCGAACGAAGTCGCTGGTACACGCTAGTAACTGTATATATTTATAATTAATTTATTTTTGTTTCCTAAAGAATTTTGATTAAAATAAAATATGAAGTGGGCAACGCTGCGCCGGTCAAGCTTAATCACGTGACTAAAAGTTTATTTGATATGAACTATACAGGGTGGTCCGAACTGTATTCCGTAAACTTCGGCAGTATATTCTGCATATAAAAATAAGTAAAAATGTTCATCTTTATTTCGATTTTTTTCCAAATAATTTATGAAGTAACGTCAATATTTGGATGAAAATTGGTGTCTGGGAGTTTTTTGACATGATAAATTTGATTTTGATATCAATATGACTCCTATTTGTAGGGGGCGCCAACTACATTTGTTTTAACTGATTTGAAGGGTAATAACTTTTCGTCTGTACCTGTATAAAACTACAGAGTGAAAAAATATACATTTCCGTGACTTTTTACATAAAAAATGTCTCTTGGTAAAAATCGCTACGAGCAACCGTTCTCAAGATAATAAGTATTTAGAATGGAAATAGTCAATGCAATGCAAAAATAAACACGTTGAGTGATAGTTATTTTACTGAAATAATAAATTTGGGATTTTTTTTTAATTAATCATATTTTTTTCTGCAAAAAAATGATGATAAAACAGTTTCTGTTGAACTTTTGGTACAAAAACATTTCAAATTTATGATTTCTAA